TAACATGTGCATTGGTTGATTATATGGATTGTAAACGTGGAAGTAAAAGTCGAGATTTTTATACATTAATGTTATTATTACCATCATTAAGAAAACTAAATGCAGTAATACAAGATTATATTATAAATGAAATACCAAAAAATATTGAATTTCCATCATTTTTTTCAAGAGTTTATCTCAATGAACAAAACATTGTAAGTTTTCATATATACATATACCAGAATAAATTTCCATTTTTTGTTTTTGAAAGCATTATCAACAAAATTATGATGAAATAATTGAAAATCGATAGAAGAAATATATTAGTCCATTCCAATGAACAGTAATCATAAACTATCCGGTTGTTTTCTTTTTTTGTTTGTTCGTTTGTTTGTAATGGTGAAATTTCATGTTGTGTGTATGTATGTGTGTTTTTATTTACAACTCAAATGTCTTTCTTTATAAATCAAATAGAAGTACGAATTGAATATTGTTGATTTGATAATGAATCAGTAGCACATGTTTTTATCCATTGAGAGTCATTTATAGGTGGATAATATAAATAACACATTGGATTAATTGGTGGTGTAGATATATATAAAGATGGAGTATTAAGTAATGATTCAATTGTACCAATTAGAGTAACCGAGACAAATATAATTAAAAACAAACGATCGAGTATTAAAGCAATAAAACGCCATTCTTCAATAATCTAAATAATTATTAATAGTTATAGACAAAAATCTCTTAATTAATATAAAAAGAAATTGGTCATACTTCTTTTTCATTTTTTTCATTTTCGATTTGTTGTAAAATATAAGCAATATGATTCGATGTAATTTTTACAAGTTGTTTTCGTTGTTTATCTTTAAATTTATATAATAGACGTTGATGTCGATGAATTGAATGCAATTGTTCTCTTATATGTACATATTTTGTTGGCATAGATGGTCGTTCCATGAAAAGAAGTTTTGGTAAATGAATTAAAAGAGTATTTCTAAGCCAATATGGCATATGTGTTGTTGGATGACGACGAAAATGTATATTCAGTGTTATGATTGTAATAGCAATAGATAAATTAACAAGAACAAGTGTAAAAAGAAGATATTTTCCAAGTAATGATATAACTAATGATGTTGGAGGAATAAGTTCAATAAGTAATAAATAAAATACAAGTAATGCGACAAGAATTGATACAGATAATGTAATTTTTTTTCGACTATCAGATGGTAAAACAAAAACTAATACAGTAAGAACAGATATATTTATACATGGAACAATTAAATTAATCGTATAGAATAATGATTTTCGTTGTATTGTACATGTAAATGTTAAATCAAAATAAACTTCTTCACAACATGCATAGACTTCTTCATGACGAATTGCCGTCAGATCTAAAAGAAAATTTTAATGAGTACAATGAATTTCTTTTCTTTTGATTTAATTTACTTAAAATTTCCCATTCAACTGATGGAGTATAATCTTCAAGATCCCATCCACGATCAATAACTGGTGATTGATCATCAGTTATAAATTGTAAATTAACTAAAGAACCTGAATATGTCCATGTACCAAATTTAAGTGTACAATTTTGTGTATCATATGGATAATATTGAATATCGATTGAACAATATGATTTATAAATCATTGGTGCATTCTATTAAAATAAAATTCTTACTTTGAAATATTAAATAGATTGAACTAACCCATTTTACTGTTCCATCATATCGAATATATGCTTTTGCTTTTGACGTTATTTGATAATCTCCATCTGCATCTTAGATACACAAATAAAAAGAAAAAGTATTTATCAGCACAGTCTCATTATGGTCACGATTTTTTCTCAAGGATGGGTGAGTGTGGAGGATATATTAACTTGTCACTCAGGTCTGTAATGGGGGCGGGAGGGAAGCCACAAAATCTCAACTTAAAACTTGCATTGAATATTTTTCTCAAAAATATTTGAATTCTACAAAAACCATATTTATCATACTCAGGCAAGACATGGTCCTTAAAAAACGCCTTTCTACCCAATTTTTCAGAAAGTGTTCTACTGCGTTAAAATTTACTCCGTAATTACTCGCTGAAACACGGAATCTAACGTGGTTTTACACGTTATTTTGTGAGTTTTAACGCGTTAATCACAGTAGACAAAATTAACGGAGATAAAAATCGTAAAAATGTGCGCTTTTCTGGATTTGATTTTCGTTAAAATTTAAAAATTTCTACACATATTTCTCCGTTTTGTCTGTCTGAGTACATTAAAATAATCAATTTACTATTATATAAAACAAGATCTGGTTTCCATATTAAATCATTTGGCATGTGTATATATTCTACTCCATCATAATCGTTCGGTGACCATACGAAACTATAATCTCGCCATTCCTATATATAGAAACAAAATAATTTCATTCTAAAATATTTTTAGATATATTTACATGTAGTACATAGACATGAGTTTGCATGATTTGATTTATTTCATTCTATAAAAACAATAAAAACATTCTCCAATTTAAAGATTCAAATGTTTATACATACAACATCATCAATTTGAACAAGTTTAACACCGACTTTAACTGTAAGAATATCAGAATTATTTTCAACAGGACGAACATGTTTATTATAATTTGACATTAAATATTGATAAAGTTCTTCGATTTTTTCACCAGAAACTAAAACTAAAAAAATGAATTTTCAAGGAATAAATGAATTCATTCAATTTACTTATTGAAAATATATTCATAAATACAATAAGAAAATATAGTTTCATTGTATTCAAGTACTTGCAATTTTTTCTATCTTATTACATAAATGAACAATGAAGATAGTCATTATCTGTATAACATCGATCGAAGAAAAGAATTGTCTTTTTCTATAACGAATAAAGAAATATAGTAATCATTCATGCAAACATAAATTAAGACCGGAAGCAATCAATTATCTATAAGATGATCTTTCATAAAAATTCAAAACAATCTATTCTTGAATAAAGGTCAATTGAAATCTCTAGGTAGTTTTTTTTTCTAACGTAATATTTTTCATACTAGACATATTCTATATTTAACTTCCCATCTGTATATCATTAATGAATGAAAGCAACTGACAATTACACCTATATGAAATCTAATATGACTTTCACCAACTGTTTCTATTTTTGTCATTAAATTGAAAAAAGATGCTTGAAGTTTATTCTTATTTGAGATTTTCTTCTTTTGTTTCGAACAAGAAATATTCGAGAGAGAAAAAATGTTCATTCAATCTATCTTCATATTATTCTTTTTAATTCCTTATGTTACATCTGTTAGTAATCAAGAAGATTTATCTATATCAAATTATTCTCATATTGGTTGTTTAATATTGAAATCTAATAAACAATATCTTGTGAATTCGATTCAAACAAATTCATCATTAGCATATCAAACATTTTCAAGTTCAAATATGACAATTGAATTATGTTTTCGTTTATGTCGACGATGGATTATCCTAATAAATTCAAATCATACAAATTGTATTTGTTTATATACGATAAATAAACCATATCAATTTCAACAATATCTTGGTGAAATTTCATTCGGTCATAATTGTACTTCGAATAATAATTTACAAATCTATTCATTAACAAAAAATTTCGATTTATTACCATCATTATCATCTGTTTATCAATGGTCACTTGATGGTTGTTATTATTTACACGGTATTCAACAACATCAAGCTAATCGTAATTTTACTAATATGAATTATACACAAGCAATAAATGCATGTCGAATTTATTGTCAAAGTTTACGTAATACAAATTATCTTTCATTTTTTCTTTCATTAAGAAAATATTGTTATTGTCTACCAATTACGCCATCAAAATCAGTTTTACATACAGCTCTACGAAAACCTTTAATTCATTGTTCATTTTTATCTTATATAAAAAATAGTTTCGATAATTTTTTTAATTATTCAGACATTAATTTGGATACAGTTGTTAAAATTGATGTCGAACGTTATTGTTTATCAACATATAATTTTAATCAAAATTTATATTTATGTTTAAAATCAGTTCCAATTAGTACATATAATACATATTTAAAAATTAATTCAAATGAAACTTGTTCACCAATATTAATAAATACATATGAACAATGGAATTATTTATTATCATTTTCATTTACATTAAATACACGTACTTTTATTTGGATTGATAGAAATTCGTCGTATATATTGAATAAATTATTTAAATCTAAAAGCAATTCATTTCTATCAAATGATCTTTGTATAGTTGTAAATCAAACAAATTCAAATCAATTTCAATCTTTCGATCTTCTTCCATGTTCAACAGCACGTTGGCCAAATCATATATTATGTGCACAAAAAACTTTGGATACAATAATTACAAATGAAGCAGAGTTTATGCTGTAAGTATATAAATCTCGTTAATATGTAACCTTCCTTCCAGTGAATGCTGGTGCAACAGGTGAGATCCTCTTGTACTTGAGATATGAAATTCAAGATAAGCTGAGTTTGAGTTCTCAAGCGTCTTTGAGATTAATAGAAAGACTTACAGTGTAGTGCAGTCTTAGAAACAAGTCTAGTTGTACGCCAATCTGAGTACCTGAGGTACTGCAATACAGTCCACTATAATATCAACCTATATGCTGGATTAAGATCATGCGGAAATCGTTGATCTCTTGACTTACCACGTGTCTTTGAACCCAGTGATTTTATCTAGAGCGAGGGCTGAGATGGCGACGCCCTCTCGGAGAACGATTTTGCCTTCCCGAAAATTGCAATTTTTGTGCTTATACTATGTATTTGCCCTCCAGAAATTAGGTTTTCGCCCGCCCGGAAATCGCTATCGCACTCTCGAAAGGAAAAACCTAGATAAAACACTGTTGGAACCGTTAAGTAACAGATGTAGTTGAACATGAAGTACATTTATCCGAGAATTTAATTGACAACACTCTTATCATTTTAGATGAGTTCAGTAATGAAATTGGTATTAATATTCATTTTCTGGTTAGACTTAAGATCATGTCAGTTACCTTTCAGTTGGATCGATTTAAATCATTATTTTCTATTTTAATATATATTTAGACAGAATGAAGAACGATATCCTATTATTGATAATATTACTTGTCCATCTGAATTTGTTCTATTCAATAATATGTGTTATTATGTTCATACATCGTTTGTTTATAATATTCAATCTGGTGAAGAAATTTGTTCGAGAAAATATTTGAATAGTACTCTTGTTCAATTAAATTCTCATAATTGGGGAAATATAAATGTTACAAGATTTCTTGGTCGAACATATGATGATATTCTACTTGAATTTTTCTATTATCAATTAGAAAAAACAATGAAAACTGAATCAACAACGAATACAACTAAAAAACATTGGTTACGATTATTATTTGAAGATAAAACTGCTGGAAATGAATGTGTTTTACGTTATTTTATTCATTCATTAGGTGCATATACACTTCTTCATCGATGTAGTGCTGGTGGTCATCCTGTTTGTCAATGTGAAGCAATTCAAAAAACTATACCAAAAATAAAATTACATGATGAATTTACAACGAATTCTTTAGAAATAAATAATAGAATTGACTCAACAACAACACCATCAGATATAATTCTTCCAATCGTAGCAAATTTTACAAATTCATCAAGTGTATCAAATGAATCTATCATCCGTAATAATACGGATCGAATATCTGATGAAGATCTTTTGAATAATGAAACTAATCTTGATTACAGATTTAATAACAATACACTAATACAAAGTAAAAGTCAATCTACTAATTATCAACCAATTTTAATGATGATTGCTGCACCATTATTAGCACTTATTATGTTAGGTATAGGTGCGATTTTTTTTCTACCTTATATTCGACGAACTCGTGGATCATATTCAACAGGTAATAATATACTAGGTTCTACACGTCGACTACAACGTTCATCAACAGAAACAACTTCAATTGGTAAATTAAATCCACCTGCAGTTTTATATAGTAAATTAAGATCATCTCTATCATCAACACCGACCGATATCAATATGTTACATCCATTTGATAATTCGATGACAATTGAGGATGATGATGATATTCAATTATTACCACAAACAATAAAACTTCCTGAAAATATTATACCTGAAGATGAAGAAGAATCATTATATGCATCAATATTTAAACATTCCATTGAAAAAAGTGACATCTCTCTTAACTAATTCTATTTGCTTTCATTTTTCTTTCTTCATATATTACTCATATTTTTGTATTATCTCTACATATATATATAAATGCATGAAAATCTTATTTCTTGCAAATTGTGTAATACTTCATTGTTTTTTCGCCATCAATGGCAAGTGAATTAGAAAACGTTGAAAAAATATGGGATGAACATGCCGAATATTGGAATCAATGTATTGGTGACGAAGGAGATAAAAATCGAACAGAATCAAGTGATATCTGTCTTTGGAAATATATTGGAAATGTAGATGATAAAGTTATTCTTGATGCTGGTTGTGGAAATGGATATCTAACAATAAAATTTGCTCTGCAAACTGAGGCTAAACGAATAATTGGAGTTGATCTATCATCAGCTATGATTAAAACAAGTAAAGAGAATATTAATCGACGAATAAAACAAGAAAATGATTCGAAAAGAATTGAGATATATCATGATTCAGTAACGGAATTAAAATCTATTGAAAATAATTCAATTGATTTAATTATTTCAAATTATGTTCTTATGGATACGCCTGATCTTGATTTAGTATTAAAAGTAAATTTATCTTACTAATCTTAATATAAAACAAAATCATAATCTATATTCAGGCATTTCAACGTGTTCTGAAATCATCGGGTCGTTTAATTATTGTTATTCTTCATCCATGTTTTGATCCAGTAGCAGAAAAAGATGGTTCAAAACGTATTTATACATGGACAAAATCTTATTTTGATGAAACACCTGAAAAACAAGAATGGGATAAATTTTCATTGAATATGTATCATCGACCATTATCAGTTTATTTCGAAATGTTTAATAAATATAATTTTACATTAATGAATTTTGATGAACCAAAATTTTATTCTCCAATTCATCAATATGATTTTACTTGTGCTTGTTTATTTCATTTAAAAAAAAATTAATTAAATATAATTTTCAATAGAATCATTTACAAGTATCTATAAATGTGATTTTAGTTTCTTTTGTTTAATAAAATCGATTAAAGGAGAAAAAAAGTTAAAATTTATGTGAGAATACGCGAATTTGCTACTTTATTCGAAGATGATGAATTACCATTTGTCTCTACTGTATCTGATGTATCAGTACTAGTTACACTTGATCTCGTATTTAAATCTTGACTGATTTGTTGATGTTTTTTTCGATTATTAAATCCAAAGAATATGTAGTAAGATATCATTACACCACATAGAAGAAGAATGAAGAACGAAATAACAATGAAAATAAGAAAAGATCTTAGTTTTTCTAGCAAGTTAATAAATGAAAAATGAAATTTATTATCAACAGTTGTTGTGTTTGAAGTATTATTAATAATTGGATTTAATAGTACTGAGAAATTAGATTCTTTACATATAACTGATCCAATAGGTTTAATTTCGTTTGAATATATAATATATTTAATCCATTCAATATCATTTTTAAGATAATTACAAGAAAAAGCCAATTCCATATTATTGACAGAAACATCATCGAAATCATTTTTTAAATGAATTATTTTTGTATTCGATAGAGGTTTGATGAATTTAACAAGTAATGTATTATAAGATGGCAGATTTATATGTAAAAGTGAATTGAGATATTTTAAAGTAAGTTCTGTTAAATTATAACTTTCAATAGTTATCACAAGTATGGGAAATGCTGACGTGGGCTCCCCTGATATGTGTAAATAATGAATAATAGTAGGATTTTGATGAAAAAACTGTTCGAAAAATGTATTATTATCAAATATGAATGAGATACATGTGAAAATTCTTCGACAATCTTTTTCTATTATAACATCAATGTCTTGAATCTTATATTGTAAACAATCTGTTTCAATTCGGGATCCGGATGGTGACATATAAAGTATCGTATCAGTATTTGAGCTAGCATTGTATTTGACATTTTTATAAGTAAGACAAGATTGTTCTAAAATTGAACCAGTCATAGTTAAATATATTATATTCAACATTAAAGAGAAAAAAATGAACAGATATTTCATGAATAAGAATATTATCAAAACAAATTTAAAACAAAACAATTGCTTTTCTAAATGTAAAAAGTACCTAGTTACTAAAATTTCCTACAAAAATAAAATAATAATCAAATTACGAAATATTATTGCGATATCTATAGATTACTGAAAAATAATTCATTTTAGGCATCTTTTGAGAAAAGAAGATTTCTGCATTATTTAACTTGAGTATTGATACATCTCATATTACAAGCATAATTCTCATGTAAATTAATCGTCCAATACAAATAATAGAGAAATAATATCCTTTATCTTTAAAGCTATTTTCATATTCAGAAGAGTCGTTATTGAAATGACTCCACAGAAAATAATAATAATGATAATCGATAGATAAAAAAAAGAGATTAATTAACCATAGTTTCATTTTTTTATTCGCCACATTAACAGTTCTGTTTAATTCAATATTGATCTATTTTACTAACTAAATATTTAGTATCAAATAAAACCTTGCAATAAAGCATAGATTTCTTATATTTTTTATTTAAAATAAAAATAAAACTTTTTACTCCTTCAAAAAAAGTATCATATTATTATTGTGTGCATCAGAGATTGAAAGAAAAGCATAAATAAAGCATCTAGTTTTTTTTCATTCTTAAACTAAAGATCTTTGATTTGAGTGCATACTTCATTGCAAACGAAAAGATTATTTAGAGTAAGCGAAACATTATCGTATCTGACTTGTGATCTAGCAAAAGAATAAAGAATTGGCACATAGGAATTCATCAATAGGGCAAAAGAAAAAGAATACGACACGAACAAAATTTGTTTTCGGTCAGAAATAAAAGGATAAAAAAATATAAGATGATCATTTTATCGTTTATATCTTTCGTTTGTATAGAATAGTAGAATCAAAAAGAAAAGATTGGGGAAAAATTAAAGTAACTGATAAGAATAAACCAATATAAATGTGAATATATGTGCCAGAGAGAAAAAGAAGAAAGAATGTGAGATAAGATTTCAGTTTTACCTTTTCGATATTCATTGAACTTAATGGAGCAGCATTAACTGAAACAAAGACACAAGTTTTATTTGCATGAGAAAATGAGAGCAAGAAAAACGAAACAAATAGAATTACGCAAGAAGAGAGTATTACAAAGAAAAAAAAGAAAAGAAAACAAGAACCATACTGTATAGACTTAACAGATCATTATTTCCAGCTTAATTCAAATGAAATAAAAAGACAAAAAGACAAAAAAAAGAAGATTTTCACTCACAAACAAATAAAACGGACGGAGTATCTTAGGTATTTAAAGAAACAAAAAAGAATGAATAGGATTTCAATGAGCACCGTAAAACAAGAAAAGAAAATTTATAAGAATAGAATCATCCATGTAGATTTTTATATCACAAACGCAAAAAATCAGTCGGATACATAGTAGGTGTACTGTTATTATTATAGAAATATAGAGTAGAAGGTGAAGATAAAGTTGCAGTTCTACCAGTCATAACTCCACTGGTAATATCAGTACCATTACTACCAAGATTTGCACATACCTCATCAGATGTTGCTCCTGATGTTGATAGAAAAATATATGGACTTGCGGTTGTATGTGAATGATGTTGTTGTAATGTTGATAAAGATATTGGTGATTGTGTTGTATTTGTTGTTGTTAATAATGTTGTCCCCGCATTTGCTGCACTAGTCATCGGACATGCTAATGCGGTTGTGTATTGTTGTGCTAATTGACTTGTATTCAACATTGCTGCTGTTGGAGCTGAATTTTTATTTATTAATTATCAAACAAAAAAAATGATATATTTACCTGAAAAATGAATAGCACCATTACTCATTGCTGAAAGTGTAGTTAATGGAGCGCCAGCAAGTGCCATAATCGATGAACCATATACATTAGGTATACCTTTAAATACAATTTAAATGTTATCAGATTAAAACTCTTCTTGAAGTTTTTTCTCAGGTATACTGTGTTTTATATTATCATATCATAAATCTTTTTTTAATATACCTGTTAAAAATCTTGCACCGATAGAAATAGGTTCATTCGAATTTTCATTTGATGGTAATATTGGATTGGTATAATCACGACTTTTATCATTATTATATTTAACATGTAATGATTGCAGTTTCGAAAAATCGATTTGTAATGTACAACAACCAGTATAAATATTTTGACCATTTAAATTCTTTAAAAAAAATATTGATTTTTTCAAAAAAAAAAGAAAGTAGTACATTACCAATTTTGCTGTTTGTGCAATAGATGCATCTTTCATTTGTATTAATCCTTGAAATTTATCTAAATAAAAAAATATTGATGTTATACAACTTTGATAATTTATTTTCGTACCATTTTTTGTGAAAGTTATAATTTTTAGAACAACACCAAATTTACTAAAAATCTAAAATTTTTTGTTTTGTAATTTAATTCAAAATAAAATGAAAACTATTTCCCTACTTGATAAAATGTATCCACACTAATTGGAGATATCATATTATTAACGATCACACGTAGTACACAATTTTGTCCACCTGTTTGTGCAATACCTTGTAAAATAGTTGCTGATTGAAGTGCTGCTTGTGCTTGTTGATTATTTGCATTATTTGGATCAGTTTTTAATTCTTGATGATTTGAGAATTGTACAAATATTTGTCGACCATTTAATAATATTGGTATTGAAGAAAAATAATCTGTCATGGCTTGTGCATGTTCAATACTATCGAATTCCAAAAATGCCTTTAAATATAAATTAAGTTTCATTAATTGTTGTAAAAGAAATAAAATTATCAAACAAACTTGATTTTTTTTTCTTAAATTAAGTACATTTGTTATTTTACCAAATGTAAGTCCAAATTGAACTATTTCTAATTCACTTGCATCAATATTTCGTAAATGAACTAATAGAGAAAAAACTTTAATTATTTCTTTTAGAGATTTTGTAAATAACTTACCAACACGAGATGGTGGACTTTTTTCAAGTCGAGCCTAAAAAATAAAATTTGAAGTTTGTCAATACACATCAGATGTTATTTATTATACAACGGAAATCAGTAGACGCTTTAACAAATATTGAAAGTTTTTATAATCATGACTGTAGTAATGAAAATCAATTTATGCCTTTCGAACTGATAGAAACAAAGATAACAGAATATTCTGGTTGATCATCTCGGCAATTGCGTCACGATACTTGACATATACTGAGAATGTAAATATAGATCCTTTTGGTTTCTAATAAAAACGACAGGAAATCTCGACAGAAATCTTTCATTGCAAATGATTTGAATATGTTAAATGTAGAGCAAACAGTTGTCTACAAATTTTATTGAAGGTTAGTAACGTATATCTTACTGATTATGTGCTCAAAACTTATTAATGAAACATACTTTTTTAGCTTCATTATTATCACCATTTTGATGTCCATTTGTAATGTCATTTGTACTATTCATATTATTGATTTCTTCGTCGCCGGTTGTAACTGCAGCAATTTTTGTTGGTGGTGACGACGGAAGATCATTCGAAAGTAAACGCTAACAGAAGAAAAGATAAAATGTCAAAAATTAATTTTCTTCTCCACTCCATCAAATCAGTAGTAATAAATACCTTCATGGATCGCTAAAACAAATAGAAAAAAAAGAACTTATATAAGAAATCATGCAAGTATTTATTGACTTTTTCTCAATTATTCCTTACATACACATACAGAAATCATCAAAAATTCAATTGGAATTTCTTCCTTT